CGCTGTTTCCGGCCCTGGCTCCGGCACATTCCTGGGGAATGGGGGCACCGGGAGGTGCCCACGCCGCGGGCCCCGGTGCCACGTGCCGGGACGCCCTCCGCCTCGGTCGCGGGTTCGAGTTCGGGCTCCGACACGCACTCGCTGGGGGCCTCGGGAAGCTGCCTGTGAACCCCGGTTTCCCCTTCGTAGACACGGACTTGAGGCAGGCGGTGGCGGGGGGCTTCCTGTCTGGCTCCCCCCGTGGGCGCCTAGAGCGAGGCGGGCGGGAGAGCCGTGGGCGGTGGTTCCGGAGTCCGCAGGCCTTCGGCGCCCTCTGGCGAGGCCTCGCTCCACTGCCGGCGGGTCCCCGTGGGCAACTGGCGCGAGCTGGGACTGAGCTAAAGCCTGTAGAGCCCCCCTCCGTTGTGCTGGAGGGGAGACTGAGGCCCAGAGAGACGTGGGGCCGGGTCGATGCCCCCCGCAGCAAGGACAGAAAGTGACCCCAGGCCTGGCCCCCCGGGAGGAGGAAGCACCCTCTTTCCTCCCAAGAGAATTTTGCTGGGCAGTTTCGGAAACTGCCCCATCCTCTTCCCTTTCCCCTTCCCCCTGGTGGACAATGGCGCTTTGTACTTCCTTCGCTCCCTCGCACGTCCCCCTCCACACACATGGCTGGGCCCAGGGCAGGGACGCTGGGTCATGCCAGAGGGTGGTGGGCGGTAATGAGGTCGTCCATTCCTCAGCCCCGCACCACGCATTTGGGGCCATCAGAGGGAGAGACTCCCATTTTCCAGAAGAGGACAAGCCTCCTGGGGTTGCAGAGCCCCCCCATCCCCCCCCAAAAAAAAAAAAAGAAAGAAAAAGCTATCAGTTTGTTTTGTTTTGGGAAACAAGGACCCCCTCTCTGAGGCTGGAGCATTGGGAATCAGAACCCAGAAAACAGAGAAGCAGTCAGTCATTGCACCTCTGGGCCTCTTTGCCTTCCACACAGGAGGGGCTGGGCCCACTGTCCCCTAAGGTCCCCTATCTCCTTGTGTACCACAGGGGCTCTAGGCTAAGGCAAGGCTAGGAGGGTGGGGAGGTGAGCCTGGTTCTCACCCTGGTTGGTATAATGCCCCCCCTTAGGGCTCAAAGCATCTCTAGTCCAGGCTAGAGGAGTCCCCAACACACAGTGCCAGGGTCCTCAAGGCCCCCTCCATGACAGACAGACGCCAGCAGCAGATCTGTCTTCAGTCTAGGGCAGGCCCTGGAGTCAGAGTGGGTTGAAATCCTGGCTTGGGTTGTTCATGAGCAGATCACTTCTGCTCTCTGAACCTGTTTCCTCACCTGTCAAATTGGAATAAGAAAGGGTCTGACTGACAGATCTAGGTGTCCTGTCCTTCCCATTTTCCCTTCCCTCTCTCTCCCTTCTCCCAATTAGCTAGAATCAAGCAGGGCGGTTGGCTTATTGCACTTGCAGCTGTGCAGGGGGGACCCCGAGTCTGCTCCCATCCCCATCGCTGCCCGGAGGTAGGGCTTTTGTCCCATCTGACAAATGAGAAAACCCAGACACAGATTCAGGGATGTGTGCCCATCTACCCAGCCAGGACCGGACTGGGGCTGGGACCAGCTGGAGATTCTGGCCTGAGTTTCAGGTACCCTCCCATAGCTCCTCATGAATGTGGAGCATGGAGGACTGGGGCCTAGGCTCTCCCCACTCTGCTCAGACTAGGACAAGCTGGCTTGTGACTGAGTTGGTGAGGCCACACTCCCGGCTGAAACCTATCTGTGCCCTATGCCACTTTGTCCCTGCTATTTGCCTCCCCACTGAGCAGGAAGGAAAGATGGGGGGGCTAAAAAGGACGGAATAGAGGACTCCTTGACCCTACAGCTAGAATGATTCTGGGGGTGCAAATGGAGGAAATTCCCCTGCTTTTACCTGTTCTCACCTGCCTCAGACCTACAATGGAGGGTTATCTTTGCTAATACTCCTCCTGGGGGACTCCAGACCAGTCCTCCTCCTTGAGCCGCAGAGGATTCTGGGAGGGCATCTCTACCAGGTGGAGGTGCATGGGAGGCAATAGGATTGGCAGACTTAGCCCAGGGAAGGTACCTTTTCCGGACCTGGTTAGACCAGTTTCCCCCAATTTCCCAGAAGCTGAGGGGCTGAGAAGCTGGGTCAGAGCACCTCTTCCCCATAGATTCCTTTTCTGGGACCCTGGGTAGCCCTTAGTGCCAGCTGCCTTATCTGTCTGGAGGTTGACCCACACTGTTAGCCCGTGGGGTGGCCCCCCTCATGTAATGACTCTCTGGGATCTTGGGAGTTTGATGAAGGGCTCTAAGGGGCAGGGGTTGCAGGAAGGAGGGTCTGGCCACTTGGCATCTGACGTGGATGGCCGGTTGTTAGCTGCCCGCTCATGGTGGATGCTCTGTGAACCACAGTGCACAGTGGATTCCCTGGGAGCCCTGGCACAGTGAGGGTCCCCTCACTATGGGTCTCCCCTGAGACCCTGGGTGGGCGAGCAGGCACGTGAACGGCTTGGGGCAGAGGAGTGAGGACAGGCCACTCTTTGTGCTCCAGGCAGAGCCGTGGGCAGCTGGTACCAGCTCTCCGCCCCGGCAACCAAACTGACCTGCCCCTCACTCCCTCCTGCCCCACAGCTGGAGGTCACCTCGGATCTGGCAGAGCGGCGGCGCATCCGTTCAGCCATCCGGGAGCTGCAGCGGCAGGAGCTGGAGCGCGAGGAGGAGGCCCTGGCATCCAAGCGCTTCCGTGCGGAGCGGCAGGACAACAAGGAGAACTGGTTGCAGTGAGTGGTGGGGGGTTGGACATGAGGAAAGGAGGGCGAGTGGGTGCCAGGGCTCCGCTCTGTGTGAGCACAGGTGTGTCTGCTGACCCTCTGTGTACAAGTGGCAGTCTGTGCACACCTCTGGACGGGGTGTTGGGAAGCATAGACCATGTGCTGACCATGACGTCTTGCTCATGCCAGTGTGGACGGCACATCTGAGCAAGTGTTAGTGCCTGTGTCCGCAGGCGCTCATGCATCAGTGTGCAGTTAGAAGGTGTGCACAGCCCTGTGCCCTCTGCCAAGGTCCCTGCCCAACCCTTAGCCCACATCCTCCACACCCTGGCCACGCAGGGGTGGTTACAGTTGTGTTGTCTCCTGCAGTGCTCAGCAGAGGGAGGCCGAGCAGCGGGCTGCTCTGGCGCGGCTGGCAGGACAGCTGGAGTCCATGAGTGATGTGGAGGAGTTGACTGTGCTGGTGAGGCCCAGGCCAGGGCGGGGTGGGTGAGCCGGGCAGGTGAACACCTGGACTCCACAGCCCAGCGCCACCCACGGCCTGTCTACCTGCAGCTGCGAAGTGCCGGCGAGTACGAGGAACGCAAGCTGATCAGAGCTGCCATCCGCCGCGTGCGAGCTAAGGAGATTGAGGGTACGTGTCCTGTCCGGCCTCCCCCCGCCCTGATCTGTGCCCAGGCAGCATCTCCCAGCCACTCACCCTCTCTTCCAGCTGCCACCATGGCTGGGAGGTTGTACAGCGGGCGTCCCAACAGCGGCTCAAGGGAGGACAGCAAGGGTCGAGCAGCCCACAGGCTGGAACGGCATGAGGTAAGGAACATGGGCAGCCTGGGAGGGCGACCCAGTGCCCTGTGTCTGCTAGACTGGCATTTGACTGTGGGGGAGGGCCTGCCAGGGTCGGAGGACACTGGCCCGGGGAACTGCTGGCTATATGCCCCCACACTAGACTTTGTCTCTATTCAGGCTCTCCCTTCAACCAGCCTGGCTACACCACTCCTGGCTCCTGTCCCTTTCATGTTACCATACAGGCCCTTCTGGGTCTCCACTCCTGCTGCCCACCCCTCCAGCCCCCTTACACACACACACACACACACACACACACACACACCCATCCAGCCTACACTCAGCAGCAGAGGGATCTCCCGGAAATGCAAATCTGGCCCTGGCACCTCCCCTGCTTAAACCCATCCTGACACTGCCCATCACCTTGCAAAGAGCCAACATCCTTACCTGGCTTTCCAGGGTCTGTGAGTCAGGCTCCAGCTAACTGGTGGAGCACTGTGCATAGACTCCTCTCTGTTCTCCAGGGAGTGTGGGTGGGAGGTCAGGCCATGCAGTACCCCTAGGTGGCCAGCAGAGGCCGCTGGGTCCCTGGTCCTGGAGGATTCT